GGCTCAGGGCAGGTCCTGGCTCCTGCGGCACACAGGGCTTTATAGTTATGGGCCACTTCTCACCCCTGAGCTCTGTGGCCAGGACATCGGGTTTCCTCTTTCTCCAGGGGAGTTGGCGATCGCTCTCTGTTCGTTTTAAACCTGCTAATGGGTATGAAGAATCTCCTGGTCAGCTTCAGAATTTCTTCAAGGAGGGTCACACAGCAATGATGCAATTCCAGAGCCCTGGACAGAAACAAATAACAACGACTGTGTAATACTGGTCAGTTTATGAAGCGCTCTGGTGAAATACTCTTGTTTGCTCAGGCCGACAAATGGCCGCCTTTGGGAGCAGGGTGCCTATGCAGTTTGCTCACTTTAGGCAGCAGAATCCTAAATCAAAATGTCAGGGGGAGCCCACGCAGACCGCTTGATGAAGCCACAAGGAGAAGGATGAGGACAGGGCTGCACGGCCACCTGGAGGAGGCTGCTCACCGAGACCTTCTGTCCCTCTGACGGAGAAGCTGTGCGGGGCCCCCGTGCCTGCCGGCTACAGAGACTGGGCCCTGCTCTGTGCACTGTCCCAGGTTTACAATCATGGGGCCTCTGAGTCCTGCGCTGCCCGGGTCTTTAGGTACAGCCTTTGGGTACAGTCTCCGCGCTCTGTGCTCCTGAGCGCGGACCCCTGTCTCACTCCAACGATTGCCTGGGGGCGGGGGGCTGGCACAGGGGCCTGACTCGGCGCCCTCCCGTGTTTGAGGGACACGTGGCCGGCCCTGCTGGGAAGCCCTCCCTCCCCTCGCGTCTGGGCCCCGGGCATCCATGAACCTTGCCACCGAGCGGACGCAGGGCCCCGAGGCTGGAGGGCCAGGTGACTGCCACGTCCCCTCAGCTGCTTCGCAGTCTCTGCATGACCTTCCTGCCCTGCACCACTCCGCCTGAGGTTTGATTTACAAATGGCCTTGATCTGCTTGTGATGCTGGCACCTAGGTGGACGCAGGTGCCTAGGAGGGTCAGGCTTTTTTCATAAAGGATTTGACTTCTCCATTGACAAGATGAACCCACCAAGAGCCAGAGAAGTGGCTCAGCTTCCCGAGAGTCACAGAGACTCAGAGACGGCCCCAAAGCTGCTCTCCCCCCTCCACCGCTGCCTCCCCTCCTCCGGGGCGGGGCAGGGGTCTGCGGTGGGAAGGGAGTGGGCCTCGTTCCAGGGGCGGCTGGAAGGCACGGTCTGCCGGACGCCAGGCCTGCCTTACCCTCACGCCCTGGCCAGGCGCGGGTGGCCCGCACTGATCTGCACGGGGGCGCGAGAGCCCCCCCGCCGAGCTCCCTGGCATGAGAACCCGCATTGGTGGGGTTTCTCAGGAGCCCGCCCCTGGACACCTGTGCCCCGGCTCCCCGCCCAGGCCCTGACCACTTCCTGCCAGTCTCCCCCATTAAACGCCTCCTTATGTCGTTCTGACATGGCCGTGTCATCCATCGAGGGGAGGAATCTCCCGTTGCCTTCACCATGTTGTCTGTGGACAGCGCCCCAAGGAGGCTCTGCCACAGCACCTCCCAGCCCCCTCCTTTGAAGGCGTGGTGCTGGCAGTGAGGGTGAGGGACCCTTCCACAGGGAGCTGCCCCGGTCACCACTGCGGACGACTGGCTGGGTTTAGTTGTCCAGATAAAGGCATGCACTGGGCAGCTGCCTAGCGCGTTAATTAATGCACTCACTCGCAATGACCGTTACTAATTGAGCATCCAGTATGTGCTGGGCCCTGTGTGTGGGAGCTGCTGGGACAAAGCAGGTGACGTCTCCCCCTCCTGGAGCTCATACCCTGGTGCGGTGACAGACCCCAGACCAGGAAGCAGAGGGAGAAGTATTGTAAGGTAGTGACTGCCCCACGAAGAACCATGATGTGGGGTGAGGGGACGGGGTGCACCCCGTAGGAAGCACCCCATCCCAGCGCCCTTCCTGTTCCCAGCAGACACGGCCCAGGTCTCCTCTCTGGGCTTCAGCAGCAGAAAGGGCCCTTGGTGCTGTTGGGGGCACCCTGCCTCTGTCGCGGAGTGACAGTGGGGTGCGGAGGCTCTCAGAGGGCCACCCTGAGCCCTTCTGTTGGTGCCACCACCGCCGTCACAGACGGGGAGCCTTGGCAGGCAACTCGATGACTCGAATTTGCGCAGGGCCTGAGGCACCGCAGAGTGGCTCTGAGGACTGGGGCCTGGCTGCTGTCCCTCCAGGCCACATCCTTTGTCGTCCCTTCGCTCCTGCTGAGTCTGGGCGCTCAGAGCCGTGCTTTTCCAGCTCCCAGGATGCCCGTGCCACCGAATCTGATTACTTGTCCTTCGCCGCCGCCATCCGGTCCCCCTCCTCTGCCTTACATGTCCCCAGCTGGCTCACATCCCCAGCTGGCTCGGAGGAACGAGCGACAACGCTCAGCTTCCCCGGGAACGGTCGGTCTCAAAGTCGACGGAAAGTAACGATTCTTGAAATATTAGTGGTTTGTTTTTTAAACACTGTAATATTCTTCAAATGAGGCAGGAATCTATACATCACTTTTGGCTGAAGATATTAGTTTAAGATATAATTGTGAAATTTATTTTTATGACCTGTCCTTACTGTCTCATTATATAATCCCTAAATATACATAATTTTCTGCATTTTCATTTATCATTTGTCAAGAAAAAAATTGCTGGTTTTTTTTTTTGTTGTTGTTGTTATTCTAAAAGGAAAAAGATGAATCAGGCCCTTCAGAAAACCTCAGGCTGCTGCAACGTTTTAAATCTCTAAGAGGAATCGCCTGTTTCTTTTTGAATCAGTGAGTTTGTCTGCTTTGTGAGCCTGATCCAGCAGACACAAGGGTTCCTCAGAGGGGAAGGGACTGGGGATGCTAAATCACCTCATGAAAACGACAGTTCCCAGCGTGAAGGCGCCCCTACACAGATGTGACTGGTACGAAAGGGTCCGTTCCTGTTTCAGGTTTGCTGGACCCTTGCTCAGCGCTGTTGCCCAAGGGACGCTTCCAAGCATTGACTTGAGCCTCCAGAATCTCCTGCCCCTCCCGGGGGTCCTGCCCCAGAGGAGGACCCCGAAGAAAGGGGTCCTGAAGTGCCAATCAGAGAACGAATGGCTCCCAGATGCAGGAGACTATCCCGTGCATCCCCGGGGCGCTCATGGGTTAAAATAATGCCCCCCCGCCACCCGCCCCAAAGTCCTGGAACACTGATGCACTCAAAATCTCTGCTTTTATGGGCACCGGCAGCAAATCGGGGATAGAGGGAAACAATTCTGCTGATTTGGGTCACGGAGCGATCGGTCGGCAATGCTTACAAAGCCGCGTCCTCCCTCCCGGGTGCCGGTGTGATTGCAGAGCTCCCGGCAGGACCTGCTTAGGTCTAGGAGAGCGAGAGGAGGGAATGTGCCACGCAACCAGACATCTGCGATAAGGGCATATATACGTGTGTATAGATGTATGTATCAAAGTGTAAGATAGGTAAGAATTCCTGTCTTCTATGATCTTTTTATTTATCTAACCTATCATTTATCTCTTACTGACCTCTTATCTATCTGCCTCTGAGGCAGAGACAGAGAACAGAGCAAGCAGGAGAGAACAGCCTGCTTCACTCTGCAGCCCCCGCAGCACCCTGTGCCCCTTGGGTTGCGCAAACACTGTCATTTCCCACCACCAAGAGAGGCAGGGGACAAATGGGCCACCTGTGGGTTAAATGGCACACTCAGGTCACCTGGTGACAAAACCAGGAATAGAGCCCTGTCCCTGCCCTCCTGCCACGGCTTTCTGTCCAGCCTCAGGGTCCCTGAATCTCCTGTCCTCAACCTGGATGTGCCCCTCACACTGCCAGGCTCCGGGTGCCAGCCCAGGCGGCAGGGAGGCTCTTGCCCCAGGTGCCAAGGGGTGGCCCTGTCCCCAACTCTGCCGTGAGCTACCTCCAGACTCCTGTTTGTCACTTCATCCGTAGACAGAGTAGCTGAATTCAACTCGGACTGCGCTGTAGAACCACTGGAGAGCCCTTTGGAAAAGCGGGCTGCCCGGGCCCACCCTCAGGGACGGGACTAGTGAACCCCGTCTTGCTCTCAGGAGCCCTTCCCGCTGTGGCTGTGTGAAGAGGGAGCCCCGAGTCTGGGGTGGGCCCCGGGTCTGTATTTAAAAAATACAAGGGTGCCTTTGGTGACTCTCATGATTAGCTTCCACTGGGCTGAGGAGCTTTGAAGATTCTTCCCTTCTCTGACTGGAGCATTTTATTTATTTGTTTTTAGTGTTTGGCAAGAAGCTGGCCAGTGCTCGGTTAGGTGCATGGCACACGTTTTTTCCTTTTGGTTTTTCACGTTTTTTTTCACGTTTTTCCTTTGGTTTGGCTCCTATTGTGTTTTCTCCTGTCACTTGCACTGTGAAGTAGTCAAGTCTTTCTGCCTCAGCAAACAAGTTGCTGAGCCTACCTCGCTGGAATCAAGCGTTAAGACTTGGGAAGGTTCAGCCTAACTGTGAAGGTCAAAGGGCGACATCCATTTGTGACAGTGATACAAACAGAAGCCTTAATTCAATAAGAAAATCTCATTGGCTGTGGAAGTTTGCACGGAGACTCAATGATTTTAACTCAGAGCTGCTGTGAATATCAGCTACCATTGGGTTAATATCTGTTTAAACCGTAGCTCCACGAAATACCAGGAGAAAATAATAGCCCAGCTGATACGTTTAACACTATATGCAATATATGAACATGAGAAACAGAAAACCCTGCACAGAAAATGTCTGAGATGTTGAGACTGGGCCTTTGAGCTTCGTCGTCCCGGGCAGGTGTAGAGGTCACGCAGCCAGTGGCCAGCCATTTTGGGTGGGGTCAGGACACGCGCCCCTGGACTTCACTGTGAGGACTCAGTCTTGTGCTGGGGGTAGTGAGAGCCACGTGGGGGGCGGGGGCCGGGGGCCGGGGGGCCGGGCTCTTCCGCGGCTGCTGTCTGCCTTCCTGCTTGCTTTCAGCGCGGGGGTTGTCTTATGTCTGTGTTTCTCTTGCTACAGATGGGCAGAAGAAAGTTCAAGAAGAGTTTGACATCGACATGGACGCGCCAGAAACAGAGCGCGCGGCGGTGGCCATTCAGTCTCAGTTCAGAAAATTCCAGAAGAAAAAGGCGGGGTCCCAGTCCTAGCAGGGGAGCCCCCTCCTCGTCAGCCAGAAGACACCGAGCGCAACCATCATCTGTGGAGAAATTAGAGAAAACGCCCTAGAGAGAGATCACCTGCCCACAGCCCACACGCACAGAGGCCCCACGTTGCATGTACAGAGACCCCACCACTCTCCCCCTCTTAGCCAGGCATAGTAGACGAGGCAGCTGTGAGCGGCTTTATGTCTGTGTTCCTCTCCGATACCATCCCCTGCAACTGCTCCCCCTGACGTTGTAATAAATGGAGTGAAGATGCCTGATGCAAGCGTCTGCCTCTGTCTCTCCCTTGATTAACTGGGACGTGCCTCCCGTTAAAGGCCTGCGAACCAGGTGTCTCCTTTCTCCTTCCCTTAGGGTTGGAGCCGAAGCAGGTGCCTCCGGGAGGCGCTCTTCTGTTGAGGCCGAGAGGCCTGTTCTTAAACCAGTGGTCTCCTTGGGGAAATCCTAACTGCCCACTGGCGATCGCAGAGCATTTCCTGCGTTTGATGGGACTAAAGCGCTGTCCCCTGGGGTGCCAAAGTTCAGGAGCTTTACTGGGGGGGGGGTTATGACTCATGCAGGAGAGCGAGGAGGGGGAGGATGATGCATCGGCGTTTGGCACGTGTCACTCAGGTTTCTCAGCAGGCGCCTTTCAGGCCTTCGCACGGGGTGTCGCACCGATGAGGGCCTCTCTGCCACTTACCTGCGGGGCTCCTTCCGGCGGGGCTCCAGGGGGAGGCCATGCTCCTGTCTCCCCACCTCCCTGAGCTCCTCACACCTATTTGCTCCCTGTTGGGGCTCTTTGCCACCACCTGTGATTTGGAGAAGCTGCCAGCTTCCCTCCAACCCCACCTCTGCCCCTGCAGACCTCACAGGTAAGTTGCTTCGCACACCTTGCCTTGGAGGGCTCCACACACTGCCGGGAGAGGTCCATCATGTAGGGAGGACACAGTCGGGAGCCCGGGGCGGTGGGGGCGGGGGGCGCGCCTGCCTTGGGGCCGCGGTGGCAGGATCCCCCAGCCCCCACCTCCGGCTGTTGTTTGAGCTCTGCCACATGCGGACCTGTGTGGAGGTTGCATCTCGTCCTCGGCACCCCGAGGGGCTCCGTGACAGTGCGCTATACCCCTGTGGGGAATCCGATTTGTTCCCTTTGCCAGCTCCTCAATCAAGGATCCAGGTGGCATGGGAAAAGGGGTGGGAAGAGGAGGGCGGGGCCCCGTGTGTGTGTGCCTTGGTCACACACGCGTGCCTGGGGTGCAGGCGAACAGCATGGCGGAAGCCACGGCAGCGTGCAAGGCGGCAACCAGGGCGGAGGCGGGGCTGCTCCTGGCCGAGCCCTGTTTGCCATCCTGAGGGTGCGGATGCAGAAAGACGGGTGCGCTTGGGAGGATTAACTGTCTCAAAAAATCCATCTGAAAGTGTGTTTACTGTTTGGTGTCGGGATTTGTCCACCTGGATAACTCTCTGTTAGTGATCGGGGTGGGGGCGGAGCTCTGGGTTCTTCCGCTGGGTCTTTAACGAGAGAAAGACTAAATAGGATCGTTATGGCACGAAGAATGGCTTCAGCAGGATGGACCAGCCAGCCAGGGCTCCCTGCGCACCTGGTGGCCTGCGGTGCCCCCTGAAAGAAGGACAGCAGGTTGAGGGGACACTCCATAGAAAGCTTCCCGAGATGCAGATGGTACAAATGCCACACAAATTAGAAAGGCTCTGATGTAGTGTTCTCTGGAGTTCCCTAAAGTACCGATGGAAAGGAAGCTGGGAACAAACAAGAGCCTGTGTAATTCGGATGAACTCCCTCCCCACCCTGTGTTCCCAGCACCCCCATTGTTCCCTCAGCCTCTGAATACTTCACAGAAAGGAAGTAGGGCCTCCCCTACGGGGCGCGTCTGGCCCTGATGGCCCAATCTCCTGCTCGGACCCCTCGGGAAGCACGTCTGGTTTTACAGGGAGGTTGCTCCCCCTAGGGGGGCCGTCCCTGCCAAGCAGGAGGTCCTGGGCCCCCAAATTCTCAGAGGACAGGAAGCACTGCCTCAGCAGCGCTGGCCCATCGGTGCAGAAGGAGAGTGGGGCGGAGTGGGGGGAGGGCTGCAATGGTCCGAGAGGCCCCTCAACGGTTCTGATACATGCTTCTCATTCCGATCTCAGGTCAAGGGTACTTCGGGCCCCCTTTGAACCACAGGGACGAGTTTAATTTATTGCTTCTCAGCTGGGCACTGGGTATACTGAGCCTATGACCTCGTGGAGCCCGAGGCAAGAGGAGTGGCTTCAGCTCCCGGCCCCGGAGGGCCCTTCGGTCCCTTGGGCGGCAGTGCTCATCCTAGAAGGAAGAGGGAGTGTCCGCAGGGGGCGCCCGAGCAAGTTGGAACATCACTAATTGAATTTTGCTTCACGTGTGTTTATTGAACTTCACTCCGTGTATGTACCTGGTGCTGCGGCCACCCCTCACCGAGCCGCTGGCAGGCAGATGGGGCGAGGCCCAGACAGACAGACACGAAAATGGAGCAGTGCTGCGGTGGTTTGGATGGGGAGGCGGCTCAGCCGGGCTCAGCCGAGCTCGCAGAATCACCCAGGTCTCCCTGAGGAGGCGCCGCCCTCAGCGGTCCCTCGGAAAGATGGTGGGAGTCACCGGGCAGATGCAGGTGGGCACCGGGGCCAGGCCCAGGAGGAGGAGAGGCTCAGATGTGCAGGTCCAGAGGCTGATTTGTTAGCACACCCCAGCCTGGGGGGAGGGCCCCTGCAACCCCAACTTGGGCAGGGAGGACCCCAACAGCTGAGACTTACAATTGCATTTGTCTTTGACTTACAAGCCAGTTGGCCAAGTGGCTGCAGAGAAGTCAGTTACCTTGGAAGGCGGTTTACTTACTGCCAAGGTGATGATGGAATCTGCTTGGCGAGGCGGATGGAGACATGGTAGGAGTGAAAATGAGACGAAATCCCCGAGTGCCTGGCTCAGGGCAGGCGTCGGATAAACGGAAGCCACTAGCCACGGCAGACCTATGAGACAGAGTCAGTCTTTGCTTCTCTCCCCAACACCCTTTTCCTGGCTCAACCCAGCCCCGAGTTCCCGGGCCTCTGCTCCTCTGGCTGCAGGCTGGTGCGTCAGTGGTGGAAACCTGACCTGAGGGGCGCGCTCAGCCAATCAGAATCCTCCTCCTGTGAGTCTGCACTAATGGTCATGGGACACGAGCCAGGTAATGGCGAGAAGTTGTTGGACCGGGGCCAAAGCTGGCACTGTGTCCGGTCAAAACTGCAAAAAGCAAAGCAAAACAAACTTTTTTTTTCCCCCCAGGAAGTTTCAAAAGCCCATTTGGAGAGAAATACAAGAGGACGGATGAGAGGATGTGGGCTCCAAGCTCTACGGGCCCCCAGGAGGCAGAGGGCAGAGTAGGCTGAGCCAGTCGATTGGTTGCAAGGAGCAGAAACCCACTCACAGGGGCCAGAAAGAGAGAAGTATCCGGGGCTCACAGGCACCCAGGAATAGCACACCTCAGACACCTACAGAAGAAGAGAGCGCCACGCGCAGGTGTGGGGTTACACTAAATTCATAAATAAGTTGGGGCACAGTGGGGGAAGAACTGGTGTCTTTATAGCACTTTACGACTTTCAGTAAAGTTTTATAATTGTCTTCATATAGGTCTTTTTGTTCTCTTTCTCCGTATTTCATGGTTTTATTGTGCTTCCCGAGAGGGGGACTCTGAGTACAGTCTCTCCCCAACGCCTTCGCTAATGGGTTTGCTGTTACCTAGGAAAATTACTGGTATCGGTACACTTAATTCAATAACCACTCCCCTCACTGAACTACACACTATCTGATCAGTTTTTGGTGGATGCTTTAGGATTCCCAGGTTGATAGTCCTACCATCTGCAAACAACAATAATTTTGTCTCTTTTTTTCCCACTATTTTTAGCTACTTTTACTGTTCTTGCCTTGTCTTCCTTTCAGTCTATCCCTTTGTTTTGAAAGGGGCTTAGGGGTTGTTTCAGTCCCAAGTGACAATGGCAGACCATCTCATAAAGGGGTCCTCTTCATAGGTCCCCTCTTTGGGGTTGAGTGATTTTAACTTCAGAGGGTCATCTATTTTCTTGCAGTCTGTTTATTGTAACTTTGAATGAAAAAAATTGACATACCTTGCAGATCACCTTAGATACATTAGTATAATGGTAAGGGAAGATTGGAGAGAAAGAGTTTAGGATTGGAGCTTATTTCAGATTTACGTTTAAGATGAAGAGTCTCATTAATGGCATATTTAGGAGATTTCACTTGACTCCAATTCCCAGCATCGATCATTGTGGTGGGGTGTCTTGGTCAGGTTTCAATGTCTAGTGTCTTAGTCCAGGCTGCTATGAGAAAATACCATAGACTGAGCAGCTTAGACAATAGACATTTATTTCTCACAGTTCTGCAGGCGGATAGTCCAGGATTGAAGTGTCGGCAAATTCTGTTCCCCATGAGGGCTCTCCTTCTTGCTGGGGCCTCAGATGGTGGAAAAAGAGAGAGCTTGGTATCTTTCTCTTTTTTTAAAAAGTATTTTATTTATTTATTTTTAGACAGAGGGAAAGAGAGGGAGAGAAACATCAATGTGTGGTTGCCTCTCATGCACCGCTTACTGGGGACCTGGTCTGCCACCCAGGCATGTGCCCTGGCTGGGAATTGAACCATGACTCTTTGGTTCACAGGCTGGTGCTCAACCCACTGAGCCACACCAGCCAGGGCCTGGTGTCTTTTTTTCTTATAAGGACACTAATCCCATCATAGGCCCCACCCTCATGACCTCCCCTAACCCTAGTCACCTCCCAAATGCCTCTCCTCCTCTTACCAACACGTTGGGAATTAGGGCTTTGTCACGTGAATCCCTGGGGGGCAGACGTTCAGCCCAACATCCACCTTGGCAGGACCAGGGCTTCCATTTCTCCTGATGTCATCTGCTGTCATGTGATCTGCCTGAATAACACCTTGGACTCCATTCCCTGCCCAGGTGACACACTGTGCGGCTCAGATTCGCACCCACTGCCTGTCACCCCGTCCTCACAGTTGCGGCTTTACCGTTGGCTCCGTGTTCCTCGTGGCTGTGGCCGCAGACTCCGTTCAGTGCCACGCTGCCCTTTTGGAAGCAGCGTTCTTTCTGAACAGATATTTAATGGAATAAGAATTGCAGGGTGAATGACATGTTGCTATGCCGTGTTGGACCTCCCTGGGAGTTAGGGGCCCACAGGGCAGGGATAATAATGGATAAAGCAACCAGAGAAATGTCAAATGTCAGAGAAAGGGGAGCC